TCCCAATTTTTGAGACAAATATTAGGTTACTTCTTGCCCCATAATGAAGTGTCCTTTCGGGGTGAAGCGGACCCCAGGGGGACTTCAAAGGTAGCAGCCGCTACGCCGCTACGTTCACATGTCCGGGTCGTGCCAGGGGGAAGCGGGAGCCAACTGAAATTTGGTTACCTTGGTGAGCACGCCCATGGTCCACAAGCCCTCCAACACGTTGCCACCCACAAAGGTCAGCTTACCCCTGCCCTCCTTCCGATTGAAAGCAAAGTGCCCAGCGTAAACACTACCATCTTCCTTGCAAGTGAACGTGCCAAACCCATGTCTCTGGTCATCAACCCACTCCCCTTCGTATTTGTTCCCATTGGAGTAAACCAGAACGCCAAACCCGTTGGCCTTATCATTTTTCCATTCCCCTTGGAATTTATCCCCGGAAGCATAAATGAGTTCTCCTTGGCCAGATTTTTTCGCAAATTTCCATTCCCCTATGTATTTATCTCCCCTACTATAAGTCAGTGTTCCCTTCCCATGAACCTTATCGTCCTTCCAGTACCCCTCGTACATTTCCCCATTCACGTAAGTCAATATGCCGTAGCCATTTTTCATATCATTAGACCAATCCCCATCATACTTATTCCCATTTAAAAATTTATAAACTCCTTTCCCTTCCATTTTCCCATCAACCCAATCTCCTTCATATATTCCGCCATCCGCAAAAAAGTACGTTCCTCTTCCTTGCATCTTCCCCTCAAACCAATCCCCTTCATAGGTCTCCGCAATTTTATTCTCACTTCCTTTATACTTAACACACCCCTTCCCATGTCTCTTATCATTCTTCCACTCACCTACATATACATCTCCATCCTCATATGTGTACGTACCCCTGCCATGCATTTTCCCGTCTAGCCATTCACCTTCATAGATGTCTCCATTGTTATACTTCAGAATTCCAAACCCATTTATCCTTCCATTATCCCATTCCCCTTCATACACATTTCCACTGACAAATGTTGCTATTCCTTTCCCATGGATCTTATCATCAACCCAGTCACCTTCATATGTTGCACCATCTGCATAAGTAAATTTTCCTTTTCCTTCTCTCTTGCCGTACACGAAATCTCCTTCGTACTTTTCATTCCGGGAGTACATCAGAATTCCACGTCCGTGGAACAGCCCATCCTTGATGTTTCCGTTGTAGCAGTGGGTTTCCTCCGTCAGGGTGCTCGTGGCCATGTTGTTCGGAAGCACTTGGTGCGGGCGCAGTTCTACAGGAGCGGTTGTGTTAAGGCAGTTGCGCGGGGGCAGTTCTGCATAGGTAGCCGTGTGGACACCACGATGCACACACGCTGCTTGTCGCTTGTTGCTTGTGTGTCTGCCTCTGCCGGCTATGGGGACAAAATGTAACTTCTCGCTTACGCGGGGATGCCTTTCTTAAGTTGGCGAAAATGTTTCACGGAAGTAAAAAAAAAAAAAAAAAAAAAAAAAATTACGACAGTGACTGCACGTGGCAACTGCGAACAATTTTGTGTATGTCGCCCCTCGTGTACCAGCGCATGTCGCGGGGGGGGAGGAAAATATTTTGTCCACTGAAAATGTAACAAACGTGGCAATCGCTCCCAACGGGACCGGTCCCTGTGTACCATTTTGTGAGTTCGAACTGAGCGTTCCACTCGCACACCGGTCATGCGGACGGCATGGTGCACATGCACATGCGAGCGCGTGTGCAACTGTCGCGCCCACCGTCGTTGCAGCCCCGGATTTTTTTCCCCACCCCTCACCGGGGAATCCCCTTTGACATTCCTGCAGTTGCATGAAAGCGCCGCGTGTTAAACGGGAAGGATATAAATTACTTTTTCCCCGATGGAGTGTCCGTCCATGTAGGCGATTATTTCTCATACGTCATACGCCACGCGTAAGAAAAAAAAAAAAAAAAAATCATTGTCGGCACGCCCTTACAAAACTGCAAAACCACGTCGCCATTTCAAAATTAAAATTGCCTGAATGATTCATATAAAAAAAAAAAAAAAAAGACACATAATTGTGTAACCACCTCTTAACCATTTGGACAAAGGAACGATGCTGACTAAGCCCCACTTTCGGCGCTTCTCCGTTAAATGCAACCAAATCCGTTTTAACCTCCGCGAATCAACACACCCATGGAGGTGGCACCAAATGGGAATCAAAACCAGCCGATCACTTGTTTCCTCCTTTTATTTTTGTATTCCCCCAATACACGGGGAAATGTTTACCATAGCCATGTGTTGTTGGACTGCTCAATGGGGGAAAGAAATAAAAAACACACAAAAATATAACACGTATCAGAAAAACGGTTAATTAAAATAACCTTTGTGGATCGATTTTTTTATCCTGCGTTGTTTGGGCCTCCTATACTTGAATGTTAAAAGTATGCGTGTCAAATAACCTCCTTTCGCGTTCTACTTGAAGGAGGAAAAATGGAACAATGGACAACAGTGGGAGGGAACTACACACCGGTTTGTGGCTATCCCAATTTTTTTTTTTTTTTTTTTTACACAGATCATTTCAGTGTAACAAATAGGAGAGTACAAAATACATCGCGAATGATGAACAATGTAATGCCCTTTGTCGGTTGGTTAACTCCTTACACTTGATTAAAAGGTGGTCGACCGCCAATTACCTGCTTCCACTGCGCGGGACGCCAAACGGGTCAGTACAACGGTGTGCTATTGGCGCTATCCGCGCGAAGTGAAAAACACCGTAGGGGTGGGTAAAAACGGGGCAATGTGAAAGGGAATGTAATCAGTACACAATTGTTGTAGTGCGTTTTTTTTTTTTCGCTCTCTCCCACGCTTCTCCTTTTTATGCCTCCTTTATTTTATCGTTTCAATGTTGCGCGTCAGGACGCTCCGCTTCGACCGGCTTAGTCATGGCCCATCATCGTACAATTCAAATATAAAAGTAAAAGAGGCCCTTCCCTTTTTTACTTCCTATCGATTTTACTGCCATCAAAAGTGCGTCGCTGTATTTGCCCTTACATTCATTGGCGCTTTTTAGCCAGAACAAAGATGCGGGTTTAGTACAAGGTAAATTCCCTTAATTTTGTCACATGTTTAATATGTAGCAGAAAAAAAAGAAAGAAAGCCGCTTCTGTTCGTTTGCCACAGTTGGTCATATGGACAAATCCACAGCGACCGGAGTGGCAACATACGTCAACCATCTGTGCACGCAGGCAGGCATCATATAATGAGTGAGAACAAAAGCACAGGGAAGCTTCTCGTAAGCGAAAGCATCGTCTGCATCAAGCGCTACTTTGATTTACACGATGCTACCGTTGTGTCAATAAATGAACTGATAAGGATTATACTTCATAGGAGGTGGGTTCCCCTCAATTTGCAACTGCATTGTGATCATGTTGTGGAAATGATTTCCCCACAATGACACAAAATTTCCCTTTTGTTTTACACTCCGCTCAACCACACCCCTTGACGATGTATTTTTCCTCCCTTTTGTAGTGCCAACCCAGGTGCTGGCTTCGACGAAGCAGGAGAATTGGAAGACCTTCTCAAAAATGAATTGTCCTATGCATTTATAAAGGAATATGAAGCGGTCAAATTGGCGCTGAAAGATTTGAAGGTGTGCCTAGACGACATGAAAAGGCTTAAGGGGAGTATTCAGCAAATTGAAGATTGGGCACATGCTGCTGGGGGTGCACACAGCGTGATACACTCCCTGAGGACCTTTTTTAAGAGCGCCCTGATCCATTTCAGAAGGGACTACAGATTGAAAAAAAAGTTGCACGAAGCGCTCATCCATGTGGATGGTGCATGCGAAAATGAAATAAATCGATTACAGTTGATGTGGAAGGAATCTCCCTTCTTATTTACAATTTTGCATAAATACCAAGTTAACAAAATAATTATTGAGGGGAAGCAATTTTTGCAGAGAGCACAGCGGCGGTGATGTGTTGGCCCAAGGGGGGGAGTACATTCACATGACCACGTCAGCACAAGTGGTCTTATGCCGTCCGCCCGTTTCTGAAACGTTCTTGATAACACCCTCAGACGATGAGAACAAAGTGGAGCACTTTTTTTTTTTTTTTTTTGTTTTAAATGCACAAAATGGGAGAAGTCTGCATAAGAGGGATATCACGTTGAGTAACCACATTTGCGTTTTTCGACGAAGGCGCAAATTACGCTAAGCAATTTTTAAGTGACAGACCAATTCGCGCATCTCACAAAAGAATGCATTAATCATCACATGGGAAATAAATCCAATGGCGACGTAACCCCAACCCTCCTTTTTTTTTTTTTAAGTAGTGCCACCTTCGTGCAAACGTAAAAACCGAACTGTCGAATGTGCATGCAAATTTCTCGACCTATAACGATATTTTCCCTATTTAAGGACAAACAAAATTGGGACTGAGCGGAAGTGATGCCACTTAGGCGGCTCGTCCCGGAACGGTGTGCACCTTTGCGTAAACTGCCCTCACCCGCAGCCATCCGCTTCTTCATTCATTAAAAAGAATGAATCAAAATGACCCCAAATGATTGTATCCTGGGGTCAGCCCCCTTCCCCCCATGTAAGCGCGTTGTTCTCGCTAAAGGGTTGCCCTCATGTGACGCAACTGCGTATGTCTACAACGCGTATTTTTCTCATTGTGGGTTATACAGCTGTTCCCCTGACGCGCACATAGATAGGCTTACGCGTGTACATACGCGCTCGAAGTAATACGTGCACCTCCAACGACATGGGCGCTCCCCTATGGCGCATGCAACATAAAAAAAAAAAAAAACACACAACCGCAACGTCCCGTCGTCGTTCTACAATATTTTATGTACGTACAAAGGAGAAACATCCCACATGTACAATTCGTATGTACACATGCGCATGAGGATAACCGCAGATATGTGCGTATGTACATGTGTGCAATTGATGCAAACTTGAGCTTTTGGCTTTTTTTTCTTTTTTTTTGTGACGTGGACAAATGACGGAGCTGCAAACAGCTACATATAACAAACAAAATTTTGAGTAGAAAAAAAAAAAATAATAATAAAGTTGTTAAAACGGAAGAAAATAAAATCAAAAAAAAAAAAAAAAACGAAAAGAAAAAAGCATACACAGAATAAATTAACATTATTCATTTCTTTTTTTTAATCCGAAAAAATAGAACTTTTCTTTAGTCCCTTCTCTTCTTCATTCACCGTGTCCTGACTTTTGTTTAATTACACTGATTTGTTTATTTGACTGTTCAATTTGACATTTGCCATTTTCGATTATTTCCTTATTCACCCACTCCACAACGTCCTTCTGCAAAGGTTTCCCTCAGCCGACCACAGGACCTACACTCACCGTCATCCGATAGGAAAAAAACGCACCCCATTGTACTGTATCCTTCCCGTATAAACAACTCCACTCGCCAAAAATGAATACCTACTACAACCTCTTCGTTTTATTCTTGGTCCAAATTGCGCTAAAGTATAGCAAGGCAGCTGTCACCGTAGACACATTATGCAAAAATGGACAGCTCGCTCAAATGAGTAACCACTTTAAGTGTATATGTAACGAAGGTTTCGTGCACCTTTCCGAAGATACATGTGAAGAAAAAAATGATTGTAAGGAAGAAACCCTAGGCAAAGCATGTTGGGAATTTGGCAAGTGTATTAAAGGCACAGGCCCAGGACAGGAAAGCATGTATACATGTGCTTGTATTGAGGGCTACGCTTTGAATGAAGGAGTTTGTGTTCTTAATGTATGTCAATATAAGAATTGTGGAGAAGGTGGTGAATGCATTGGTGAATACCTCACGGAAGTCCAAAGTGCAGGATGCTCATGCACTATTGGCAAAGTCCCCAATCCAGAGGATGAAAAAAGATGTACCAAAACGGGAGAAACTGATTGTCAATTAAAATGTAATACAGAAAATGAAGTTTGCCAAAATGTTGAAGGAGTTTACAAGTGTCAGTGTATGGAAGGCTTTACGTTCGACAACGAGACAAATGTGTGCCGTTCCTATTCTGTATTTAACATCCTAAACCTCTCCCTCTTTTTCGTCATCCTGCTAGTCCTTTCGTACGTCATATAAGTGCAAAACTTGCGCAGCTAAGGGGCGCAATTTTTTTTGAGTTAAAATACTTTTCTTTACTGAACTTACCGAGTGGTGATGTGATCAAGTCACTATGTGATGAAATAACGGAGACATGAAGTGTCTTTTTTTTTGTTTTTTTTTTTTCTCACTATTCGCCTTGCTTCGTTAAGCGTCCATTTACACCATACGCAGTGTTCTGGCGAGCACGTGCACATCCATGTGTACCAACTCCTTTAAACAGCGTGAATTAACTTCTTTTCCAAAGTGCGAAACTTGTTTTTGACCAGAGGAGCGATGGTAAAACGTTGCCGAAGCGACGCAGCTACTCATGTTTACGTAAAAAATGTAAATTAAATTTAAAAATTGAAACAAAAAATTAAAATAAACAGCCGAAATGAAAAAGAATGTAGCCGTGGGAAAGACAACAGTGGACAAGAATCTCTTGAGGCTAAGTCCTTAGAACCGCTCTGCTGTAAAGAACAACAGGTTGTCCTTTCTGGCCCTGCGTTCAATTGCTTCGGCGCGCATGGCTGCTTTGTTCTGCTAACTTTAGCTATTTTTTTTTTTTTTTTTTTTTTTTTTTTTTTTT